CTTGAGGCTGGTGAATCCTTGATTGTGCCATCCTGGATGCTTCATTGTTATGAAGTCTTGCAATAATTCCTTCAATCTCTACAGTTCTCTATGATAACATAGCAAGAGTATTTATAATGACATCCAACTTGGACTCTAAACTTTCAGTCATACTAATATCTTGACCTCCATCCATTCTAAGAGAAGAAAAGAAATGACTCTACAAGAAAGCAGTATTGGTTTAGAGGAGGATACTCCGCAACCTCTAAAATACCTTAAAACCTTCAAGAAGAGGGATAATCCATTCTTTCTAAGAAAGATAAGACTCTAATATTATAATAGAAGAAATATCACTTTAGAAGAGGGTAATCTGCAACCTCTAAAATGCCAACACCTTCAAGCAAAGGGATAATCTACAGTCTAACAAGAAGGAACTAGCTCTGATATGAAAGATAAGTGTAGTCTCGACAAACTGTCACAAATTTGGAATACTGACAGTCTAAACAAAAATCTAAACAAGAAGCTCAAGAAAAATCAACAAGAAGTAGATTAATCACATGAGTACAAGAACAATACTAGAGAGGTGAGTTAGAGCTCCAAGAGGTGTATTGTCGAGACCGAGGATCCCCTTAGTCTCGGTTCCTATATATACTACAAGTTAGGAAGCTTCTCAAGTAACTTCCACAAACTTGAAAACTTCTCAAATAGCTTCTATAAATTATAAAGCTTCTCTAGAACCTTCTAGAATCTTCTACAACTTCCTAGTGTATGTTCTTGATACTAATATCAAATCTAATCCTACGTGCAATAAGTTATAAAAATTTTCCAATTATGCATTAGAATGGAGCCTAAGCTCTATGCTCCACATTCCTTTTTGGCTTATTTTGTCTATTTTTGCCTTTGTCTTCTAAATTTTTTTCCTAGAATCATTTTTTTTTTTATTCTTAGCCTTGTTAACATCTCTCCTTTTCTACTATTGTAGACCTTGCTACTACCTTTTCATTTGTGGTATGTATTCTTCATTATTGATTTTAAAATAAAAAAATACCTCAATCTTTACCACAAGCTTGATAGATCTTCATTACCATTACTACCATCTTCTTAAGCCTTGTACTCAGTGCCATCACCACGATGTGACTACCTCTACACCTCACTCTAGTACTCGGGATTATAATATTTTTGAGTTGTGGCTGAAATTCTTGGTATTGCTTCTATAAATTAAGTTGCTTCTTGTCCTCCAGTCATCAACATTTTCTTCTTTTTTTTGGCATTTTTGTATTTCCTATCAAGTTCTTTACCTCATTCTTTTGCCATAGCCCTTATGAATAGGATATATGTTAAATACTATACTCTTGATTACTTATTAAACTCTTAGTGGTATTTGTTAAATCCAATAGGAACTAAAAAGTTTGATATGTCTTTTGTCCATATATCTAAGTCTGATGAATAATTTGCACATCAATATTGCTACAAGCTTCCATCAAAGTTTCTTTTGACTTTGTCCTATTCAAGTATAGTTCACTGTATTTTGAATTCCAACAAGTATGCTCACATTCAAATCTTTCATAAAAGATCACAATCAATCAATGGTGCATTTTTTTGAAAAGATTCCATTTGTTAATTTACTTGCTCATCAATGGGTTTGCTATCCGCCATATATAAAACTTCTAAAAATTACTACAAAGAATGTTACTTCCTATTTAAAATATAACTTAAATAATTCTTCTTAAGTCCCTCTTGGACTCAAGTCAAAAACTCTCAAGATCGACATTCAATCACCTCCAACTGTGCATTACATTATGACTCTGTATCATGGTGCAACTTAAAGTCATAGTCCATAGGAATCATTATCCAAATAATTTGGTCTTTTAGGAGATGACATCCATATCTTAACTTAATTCAAATTTCTATTAGTCAACAAAAAAAAAAAAAAAAAAAAAAAAAAAAAGGCTAGAGAGACCTAAGTATGAAGCATCTAAAACTCATCTCTTTGAGTCTAAAATTTTCCTATTCCACATCGTGCCTCTACATAGTGCAAACAATAGGGTAAAGAGATAGTCCTCCTATCATCTCTATTGATATCTTATCCCAACTTATCCATGGGCTTAAGGTGTGCCTTGGCTCTTATCATATTTTCTTTTTTCTTGAGACGAAGTAAGTATAAGGATCAAATTTTTGGACCTTCATACCCTCTTTCACTTTAGGGAGTTAATGTCTTCATTGATACATAATTTGATATTTTTTTTTAAGAGGTTGATTTTCTTAGAAATTTTTTCTTATACTTTTTTAGAAGATTTATTGTACTACATCATTTCGTTTCTAGTATCAAAGATATAAATATAAAAGAACTAAAAGTTTAATACATTCTCATGTCATTCAAAAAGATGAGGAAAGCACTCAATGGTGGTATAACATTATACTAAAATGGCTATTGCTAAAGACAAGAAGATTAGGAATTACGTGGTAATGTTTTATAGGACCTCAAACATATGTCCAACTTACGAGATACATATCTAACTTATAAGATAAGTTTTTTATATGTGTGCCACATAGTTAGCTTATTCTACAAGCTACTGTGACATTGAATACTTGGCTAATTTATCGACTAAGTTTCTAACCTACCAATCAACTACAAACATATCTAAAGTTAAATATGTGTCTATTAAGCTTCAAAGAAGCTTTGCCATAAGATAATATCAAATCTACTTACATTTATTTTCTACCTAATACTTCTTATTTAGATAAATATGTATCTTTGTCATACTTCAATAGCTTAAAGGTTTTTTTCTTTTTTATGTAGTCTTAAGTTCTTTTTATTTAGTATTGAAGTTTTCTTCTTAATTGTTTGTGAGATGGGACACTACTCATTTCTCACGTTTTTCTTTGTGCAACTTCTTTTCTACCTTCAACTTTCAAGTATTCTCAACTCTTGACTTAAAAATTCACATTTTCTTTTATGAATCATAAAGACTTGCATCTTTACTTAGACTTTGCTATGGCCATTGAATTCCTTAATTAAAACCTATCTTGCCTTAGTACTCTTTCTTGCCATATCAAAATGACTTATAATCACCTAATGAAAATTTTATTTAGAAAAGGCCAATCATTTAGGCTTGATTGCTTAGAGTCTTGTATTTACTATATATAAGCTTCTTAAGATTTCCTTCTACAAAGTCTCTTTAGATTAGAATCTCTTTAAATCTTTCATCTTTTGAAAACTTCTTTTAGCTTAATCTTTTAAAAAAAACTTCTTCTTACTTAGTGTATCTAGCACTAAATTCTCTTTGCTCAATTTGTGAATGAATTTAATGTCTATTAAAACTATTAAATCGATTACTTCAACTCTTTAGAAGAGGCTTGATTTTTTTAAGTAAATTACTTAAGAGAAATATTATCCATGTACACCTTAATTTTCCAACTTCTCAAATAATGTCTCCAAGCTTTCAAACAATATACTATTACAAATAACTCTTTCTCATGTATTAGCCACCTCAATTGGCTTCCACTTGGCTTCTTGTTTTTAAAAGCTTCGAGTCTCCTTTCTTGTATTGCCACCTCTCTAATTGCAAACTTACTTGCATCCTTATAGACTTCAAATTCCATATCAAACTTGGGATAGAATAAAACACTACTTGAAAGCAAAGCCTTTTTTTTATTTATATGAAGGATTCATCACATTCACAATTCTACTTAATGGATTTATTGTCCTTCTTTAAGAAGCTTATAAGAGGATCACCATTCTTGGACAAGTTTCTTATGAACTTTCTATAATAATTTGCTAGTCCTAAGAAGGATCTAACTTCTTTTTGAATTTTTGGCACATCCTAATTTTTGATATTATGGAAAATTTGACAAATATATGTGCTATTATCAAGAATATGGGATATTTTTAATGTTTCAAGAAATTTCACAAATATTTTCAATTTTTTTTCTAATCAAAAGCCATGATATTTTTTCTTTATATAGAAATATTTATTTATAACTAATCTTATTTAGAGAAGATAATCTATTCTAAGAAATAAATGGTTTTTAAAAAAATTGGTCTTAAATTAGTAGTATAACTACTTCCATTCTAATCTAAACTAATTTCTAAACATAGAAAAATTCTTTAAAAAATAGATGTATTTATAATCTTTTATATCATAATTTTAATTAAAAAAAATAAAGAAGTGATTTATATTGTAGATAATTTAATTAGAGCCAAATACCAACTTAATAAATATAATAATTACTATATTTTATACAAACTCTATGTAATTTTAAAAAAAATCTTATCTAAGTAATACTCAATAGAAAAAAAACTATTATATTATTTTTACATATTTTTACACATTTATCTATTAAGACTAACAAAATAATTAAATAAATAAAAATAAAAATTTTGCTTAGTTAATCTAATTACATACTTGATTGGTCTAGGTAGTCTTTTTACCTCTAATAGAAATTAGAATTGAAGTTTGAATAACAAAAAAATTGAATGTTATATTTTTCATCTTTTTAAAATTTATTATGTTAATATTTAATAATTATAATTGCACACTTGTTAGAATTTTTGTACAAGAATGTATAACATTTTATTATAGACAATCATTTTAAAATGTCAAATTTTAAAATAATACTTAGATTTGAGGTTTCGACCTCTTTTTTTAAGAATTGATACTATTATAACATCACTACCATTATTCTATGATTTTATTTTATTTTATAGAAATATCCATTATTATTGGGTAATTGCAAACAAACCTTTGTGCAAGTTTATAGCATGTTGTGTTGTAATACTAATCCTTTTAAATAATTAGTATTGCATTTGATTGAACTAAACACATGGTTATTTTTATTTTTATTCATAAGTACAATTGTACAAAATTTATTTGGATCAATTTCACTCCTTGAATTGTTATTGCTTAAACAAGTACATAAAATCAATTGACTTTCTCTGTAATCTAATCAGCAAGTAAATAATTGGAAAATCTGGACTAATTTCTACATGAGAAAATGCGAAAGTTTTCTAACTTCGGCGCTTCAACTTGCAGGACTTGCTCTTGAGCATGACGGGGCTCACCCCCATCGTCACATCACAGTCCACACGAACCTTGAATCCGGGGGAAGTGTAACTTCCAATCTTAACGTGAACTTTGGCGCTTGGGCGGAAGTGGAGCGGGACACTGTTGCTCTAGATCTGTGAGGCAAGAGTAGTTGCGGAGGTTGAAGTAAGCGCGTAGTTATTGACGAGGACTTCAGACGTGATGGTTGTGACGTTCTGGTGACCTTGGTAGAAGCCGGGGGCGGTGCTGTGCCCAAAGACTTGCCCGTCATACTCGGATTCTATGTTGATGTTGTCATATTTGATGCCGATCTTCTTTTTGGGATTGTTAGCTGTGATAGTGTAGAGGATATCGGCGTTAACATTGTTGTTCTGTCCCACACTGAAGCTACAAAAATCAACGTTGTCGAGGCTGTACTTGGGCAAGTGGATGGGCTTCAGCACCAACCAGAGCACCAAAATCGTAATCCCCGCCAGAACTAGAAACCCAAACAGCAATGTGCAGAATATGGATAACAAGCAGCAGCAGCAGCCGGCAAGCCTGCCGCGACATCCACGATGGCGAGGTTTAGCGTATGTAGCCGGAGGAGGGATCGATGGCGACCCGGGGTGCACTTGGTCTCCCATGATTGCTGTAAATTCCACTATCCAAACGCTTCACTGTTTTCCGATCACCTCACGAGAAGACTCTTGCCGAAGTCCTACTGCGCGCAAGTTCAACAAAGGGATTGTAACTTTGCACCACGGGGTCTCTTTCGGCGAAGGTGTAACTCCGAGCACGACCTGTTTCCGCTTGCTTCGCTTAATTTCTCTACAAACTCGTTGCTCAATAATGTGGAGTATGGGAGCTGCGGCAGCTTATATTGGTGGTTCACGATGCCGAAGGCGGCTTTGAGTGGAGATGTTGATGTTTAGTTGAACATATATTAAAGCTGCTGGATATAGACATCAACTTCATAACTGCCTAGAACAAATAGACTGATAGGTACTAAGTCCTGGATATCGATCCAAACATAAATAGGATATCCACCGAACAAGGGTAACTCTTGTTGTATTAAAACAACTCTCTGCAAATGGAACGACAGTTCACTTGTTTTATCACCTGTAGTAGTGTCCTAGCGTTTGGGATTAATCTTTGTGTTCAGTGATTTTTGCTCTTGCTGTGAATTATAGAACACTGTGGGTCATTGGTATTGTATGCTGATTTTTTCGTTAGGTGACCTTGTTCAATAAAGCAAGAATCAACATGGTATCAGGCGAATGATGTGAGAGAGAGAACTGAAACTACGAGAGTGAACTATGGGATCGATGGACTTGATTATTGCAACTTCTAAGATGCTTGCAGGGCCCGATAACTACAAGATGTGGAGCAGCACGATTCGGAGCGTACTGGAACGTGAAGACCTGTGGGACGTGGTGGTTCTGAGCAAAACAACACAAAAGGATCAAAACAAGGAGGCTTCACCATTAGTCAGCGGCACCTCATCGAGCTTAGTCTTGATGGAGAGAGAAGAAATGGGAAGTGCTGATCAAGCGGATGACTCTGCCTCAAAAACTAGTTTAACAAAGCAAGAACAGGAAATCCTCCGCAGACAAAGAACGCGGGCCGTGGGATTCCTCCGGCTATCTTTATTAGAAATGATAAAATCCTATATCCTTGATACTTCTGACTCTACTGTGGCTTGGAAAATCCTAGCAAATATATATTCAACAAAAACAATAGCAGATGTGATAAGAATACTGGACAAGTGGAAAAATCTCAAGATGACAGAAAATATGATAATGTCCATCTTCATCCAGCATGTATATAACTTGCTGAATGACTTGAAAGAAATCAATGAGTTGCCAATGGACATTGTAATTGTACACAAGATTCTCAAGAATCTACCTTAAAAATATGAAATGTTTGTGAAGATACTTTGAGCAGAGAAAGTCATGCCATCTCTATCAAATTTGGCTAATAGACTGTATATGGAAGAACTTGAGATGAAATTAAAATCAAGGCTTAATGAAGAAGCGTTTATGATTGGAACAAGGAATACTCCACAAAGAACTTTCATTGGGTTCAGAAATCTGAACCAATCAAATAATAATTTTTGAAGAACACCTTTTCAAGCTTGGACCACTATTGGAGAATGCAGCTAATAGCATACAACAACCACATGTCACCAATGTGGCAAACCAGATCATATAGCAAGGTACTATCAATGAATGAACATTGACAACCATACAAAGTATTGTTGATAAATTTCCTTCAAAAAGTGAAATTGAGAATGCCTTACATGTTTTGTCAATAATATCACAAGAAAAAGATTGGATTATTGATAGTGGTGTCTTGAGGCACTTCTTAGAAGACCAATGAGTCTTCTCACATATGAAAAACTTTCTTAAACAAAAAATTGTAGCAACAGTAGATGATAGAAATCATTCTATAGAAGGAAGAGGTGATATTCAATTTTTTTAAAATAATAACAAAATAAAACTATTGAATATGCTCTATGTTCCTACTTTGATACAAAACCTCTTATCAGTTAGATAATTTATAGGAAACAACAATCAGATCCTAATATTTAGAAAAGAATGTTGTATTGCATCAAAAGATTCACACCTTCAAAAAATATACACCCTTGGTTATTGAGATCCAAAATCTAGGCTCTATAAACTAAACATAAAAGGTACAGTCATTCTACCTCAAAGTTTACTAAAGGGAGCCAACAATATTAATGGCATAGACTCCATATCAAAATTGACGGATGCCAAAAATATAGAAAGCAGTAAATAAAAGCCTTCATCAAAAAGTCAACTGACAACAGATGTATATATAAAATATGATTGCGGATCCTTTTAGAATATTCAAACAAAATCTTCAAAAAGAATATTCATAAAAAAATTTAAGCAAGATTTCTACTTGTCACATTGTCATGCGGGATTATATAAAATGATGTTGTTAGACAATGAAAGCATGGCTAAAATTAAAGCAAATAAATTAATTATTCAACATTTCTTTGAAGAAAAACAAACAAGAAATCCAAATTCCAAAGAAGGCACAACAAGAGCAAAAAAAACATTGGAATTGATACATATAGATGTATGTGGTCCTCTATCAATTACGTCCTTATTAGGTACGAAATATTTTCTTTTCCTTATTGATGACTATTTTAGAAAATTATAGATATATTTTTTCAAAGAAAAAAATCAAACATTTGAGAAGTTCTTAGAATTCAAGGCTATGATAGAAAAACAAACTGGAAAATATATAAAAAAAATTTAAGAATTGATAATAGAAGAGGATTTATTGCACAAAACTTTTCAAATTTTTGTTCAAAGAATAGAATTATTAGATAATTTATACAACCATTTATACTTCAATAAAATAGTATAGTAGAAAGAAGAAATATATTCTATAGCTTGAAGCAACCAAAATTGTAATTTATATTATTAATAGATCACCTACTAAAATAAATAAGTCAAACATGTCACTTAAAGAAGTATTCTCAAGAATTAAACCAAAATTACATCACTTGAAAAGCTTTGGATGTTTATCACATGTATACGTTAGATAACAAATAACAAATAAACTACAACGAAGATCTATTATCGATGCATTTTTTAGCTATAATAAATACATTAAAGGATATAGAATATATTTGCATCATCTCAAGAGGATCATAGTCTCAAGAGATGTGATAATAGAAGAAAATAAATTTATAGACTATGACTAAACTCAAGATGAAAATCTTACAAATAAAAATATGAAAATAGAGATATCAATAGAAGAAGTTCAAAATCATGATGAATTATCAAAAACATAAGTACAAAATTTCTCAACAAAAGAAAAATCTATCCTAAAAGATTTTCAAAATATATCCAATCTATAAGAGAATACAGAAATTGATGATCAAATAGAACCTGGAAATGAAATAGAAAACCTTTCTAGAAATGCATTTCTATTTGAATTTCAACAATAAAATATAGACCAAAATACATCTAATTTTAGCTATACTCTAAGCATTGAGATTAATGAATGGCCTAATACTGAAATCAACAATGACATATCCTTTGTTGAAACTACAGATCCTTTAAAATTGAAGCAAAACATGACTTGGCTTCCACCAATTGTTACATGAGCAAGTAGACAAACAAGACCTCCCAGTGTCACATTACATGGCATTTGGCTTGAAAATGCACTGGGCACCTGGATGTGGAATTTGAGCAATTCTGAATCTTTTAACTTGGAGCTCACATTCTGCCCAGGAATTATATTTCCCAGGATGGAATCCAATTTTCAACTGCATAATATTTTGACCACAGATCATTGAAATCTGCCCAAGGTCATTACAGACACCTTTTGCCCTGTGAAGATAAATAGGCAACAGGGAATCAGGAACATGATCTGCTAATCGGGCGAGCCTGCAGAAGGGGAACAATCAATTCTCCAGCCATCTCAGCAACCAATTGCAAAGTTGTGATGACCAGTAGGAATGATCGACCCTAAAGACCTCTATAGTCGTTAGTCAAAGAGCTAACAAAGGAGAAAACATTCAATCGCAAGAAATCAATGAAACCCTCCAGCGAATAGCGTCGACCATCTTGTGCCAACCCCGTTTTTGAAATTTTTGAGTCTTGCTGAATCCACACCAATTGCCGTTTCTCAAGAAGTGAACCCTCGCAGTTTACTATAATTGAAAACACAGTATAGAACCTCTGGGGCAAAGGGGGGGTGTTGAGTTGAACATATTAAAGCTGTTGGATTGACGCCCCGTCGGATAGAACCTATCAAGATATAGACATCAACTTCGTAACCGCCTAGAACAAATAGACTGATAGGTACTAAGTCCTGGATATCGATCCAAACATAAATAGGATATCCACCGAACAAGGGTAACTCCTGTTGTACAAAAACAACTCTCTGTAAATGGAACGACAGTTCACTTGTTTTATCACCTGTAGTGGTGTCCTAGCGTTTGGGATTAATCTTTGTGTTCAGCGATTCTTGCCCTTGCTGTGAATTATAGAACACTGTGGGTCATTGGTATTGTATGCTGATTTTTTCGTTTCGTGACCTAGTTCAATAAAGCAAGAATCAACAATTGAGAGGGTGATTAACAAGCGAGTCATGTGCGCTAATGATAGTGCCCAGAACGCTGCATGAAACCGCGGCGATGTAGATAAATTCGCCGCCAGCGACACGGTCCGGAAAGAAAAGCGCGCCGGAATGCTATTTTTGAAACTGTCGAAGAACATCACTCACTGTGGGTCTCGACGTCCCCGGAAGAACTGTGTCCTCGAAACCTCCCAACTCAATTGACTGCTCCACCGTCGTGGGCCGTCGGGTCGCAGCTGCCGCTCAGATCCAATCATTACCACCGAGCCAATTTCTGGGAACGGAGGGAGGGAAGGTAGGGGGAACCTGCGGGGCGGGCAGGTTGGGAATGATTTACAACTCCTACCCATGGATGTTTTCACTGAAGAAACATTTTGACACTGACCCGCATTTTACACAGGGTATACTGAAGTTTGTATAGGGGCTTAAATCTCAATCCCAAATCCTTCTATTCTCTCTAGTATACCCCCCAAATTCCTTTGACAGCCATTATTTCCACCATTACCAAGTTAAATTTGTTCAATCATGTACTGCATAGTACACAGCTCTTTGTTTTTCTTTTTGATTTTGCTTCCTTATTCTAACCCTGTCTTCAGAGCTCATAGATAAACTTGCTTTTTAAAGTTGCAAAGTCTTGTAAAAATACATTTTGACTAGATTATGACATTATGGGACAACTTGTTTTGATTTTCAACCATCACTTTTGCTTCAGAGAATATTTTTTTGTTGTCGCACACAACAACATTCAATGTATTAGATACTTTTCTTTCCAGGAAGAAT